TATATATATATATATATATATGTATATATATATATATATAAAATGTGTGTATGTTTCACGTATGCCTTGATAATATAAAATAAGTACGATTGCATAAAGTATACGTTTATGCGATATCACGTATGAGCTTCAGGTGTAAACACTAAAGAAGAGCACAGTGTGTGCTAGAAATATTGGAATTAAAATATATTTATGTCTATAATGTCAACGTATACGTTTATACTTTGTGCAATCGTACTTTATTATTATTATATATAAACACACACACACACACATATATACATATATATATATATATATGTATATATATATATATATGAAATTCAATTTCAAATAATTTTATTTCTATTTATCAAATTTCTTAGCAATACAAATTGTAAAATAATAATTTAAAAAAAATAATCATTAATCCTTTTTTATTATTATAGTATATGGTATGATTTTCATAAATCTATAATTGTTGTATACATGCCTCAACTATATCCGATATAAAATATTAATAATTTAATACATTATCAATGCATTATCAACCTCACAATTTCAATGTTACAAACCTGTAGACATGAAGCCAAGAAAACCTAAACGGTAATTCAGCGTGACTACAATGACGTTGCCAATAGCCACGATCGGTACAGGTGAGTATAATTCGTTGGCGCCCATCCCGAACGAAAACGACCCCCCATGAAGCCATACCATTACCGCCAGGTTAGTATCCTATAGTATATAAGAAAAATTACAAAGTATTATATTTTCTGTCTTGCTTTTTTCTTGCTTTGCTTGGCAGATTTTGTAGGAGTAGGTTAGAGTGTATTTTTTACAAGTATGTATTTTTTTTACAAGTGTATTTATACTCTTTAATATGAAACTGCTTTTGCAAATTTAATTAACCAGAAATGAACGAATGAATGAACAAAGTTTTTTTTTGCTTGTTCAAGTTCAAAGTAAAAACAACAAAGACGTCAAAACAAGTAAATTCAGCCCCTTAGGGTAACCAAAATTAAATCCATTGGCATTAGTATAAACTGATTTGCACAATAAGTTGTTATTAAAGTGATGAGAACATGACCTGGTCACACAGAAAGAGCAGCAAGCTCAACAAATATGAAAAAAATAACATATATACTGATACTGATTTAAAAATACAAATATTAAAAATACAAAGTTAAAGTTCACGCTGCAAAAACAACAAACAACTTAAACCAGGATGACCCATACTAAATTAAGAAATTCATGATAATAATAAATAGCGTTATTACCCCTGGTCACTGGATAACATACAATGGCAAACCAGCACAAAGTGTACCATAACTTCTCTGCTCCCTAGGGGGAGTTGGCCTATACCTAGTTGTTCGCTACTTGTTTAGCGCACGAAACTACAATAGAACACCTCCTTTGGGACACCCCTATACAGGGGCACCACTATTAAGAGGACACTTTTCCGTGAAACGAGTTTGTTACGATTGAACAGATTCAAATAACCGTCAGCTATATTGTATTACACGATGATGGTGCACCTAAATAGTAACATATACCGGTAATAATTATCAAGATAGTCGTTAACACTGTTAAATTATATATAAATAATCAAAGATGGGTAAATAGGCTACAGTGTTAGAATAAAGGACATGATGGTACATCATGATGGTACATCACGTAGCGTGTAGCATAGCTCTCAACGAATGTTGTCCTGTATAAAAAACATTATGTAACAACATGTTTCCGACGGGATTCGAACCTGCGACGTCTTGCTGTATTATTGTGTTATATTTGATCATGTTAAAAACTGTGAGGCATTCCAATATGTTTTAGGATTACAGGGTATACTTGAAAATGATAATGTCGTCTGTAATGTAAGTAATAAATTAGGTTTAATATTTTCTAGTACTAACATTATTGACAACTCCCGAAACTGGTCTATCCTATTGTTTAAAGAAGCGTTCGCTATACGTAGACTACACCCTTTGCTTAACAATGGGCTCAGAGCTTCAAAAGAGCTTTCTTTGTTTTTGTAGGTATCTTTGATC